ATCAGTTTATAAGATCTCATAAATAAATATATCAACTATTTATGCCGAGGTTCATAGAAAGTCGGTCTTTCGAGTTATTTAGACGTCATCGTTTCATCCTGCAGTAATTCCCAAGACCAGCCTGTTAGCCCCAGCATTGATCAATTAATCCACTGTATTCTTAATAAACACGGGATTGCTGCTTTATTCTTCATTGACACAAAAGCTGACGTGTCAGTAGATTTCAGCTTTTCATCACTTGGAAAGGATAAGTTGACTGCAACCTCCCCTTCCAAGTACCGCTCATAAGCAAAAGAGAAAAAATTGGCCTCACAACAAAATAACAACCTCATATTTGCTCATTGCGAATGCAATGGATATTGTTTCAGTTGGGCTCATGTATTCTTTTCAAAATGTTTCGTTCATTCCGTACAACTCTTCAGTGTTGTCGCCACGAAGTTAGAAAAAATGTTGACTCACGTGGTGCTCTAGCGAATGTATTTTAATATCAATAAAAAGCTTCGGGAATATTCGACTGCATTCATACTCTTGTAAAGGGAAAAATTATCAGCTTTCGTTCTGAGAGTTGAAGAAGCAACAAAGCTGAAAAAATGATGCTTCGTCAATCGTTTTTTTTTGTTTGTTAACTTGAATTCTTTACTAACCATGAGATATCATGTACGTCTAATTGTTTTAGTATTTGGTGAAGTAGATTGGTCACAAAGTCCTAAATGAGGCATAACTGCTGAAGTATGAAGGAAACCAGATTTCCAACTCATACATAACTATAGTTCATATTCCATAATTCAGAGTGTCAGTCATGAACATCGTTGAGAGCACAATGACTCGGTACCCTATGTGATTTTCGAAGCGGTGATTGCCCTTTACGGTGGCTGATGTGCTATCCACTACACTAAAGCCAATTTTTTTACTCTAATGGTGCTGTCAGCAATAACCCCTCACCGGGAATGATTTGGAGAGCACAAGTCAGGATCGAACCTAAGCTAAAACTGTCGTGAAAGCACAATCTATTAACTTTTATTTACTGTTTATTCTTTTTCATGGCACGGCATAATGTGAAATAAAACTACAAGGATGCTGAGATATGAGCAAAACTTGGAACATCAAGTGAAAGCACTGTTAGAGTAAAAAAATTGGCTGAGACAATGGCAAAACAAGGGCCACGGTTAGTGAGATGGATAGCACATGACCCGCTGGAAAGGGTTATTGCGGATTCGAAGCACCATTCAGGTTCCGAGTTTTGTTCATATCTCGGCATCCTCGTGGTTGTATTTTATATTGTACCTTGCCTTAAAAAAGGATTAGGCAGCAAAGAAAGTTAAAACATGTGTCAGTTCATAAGGGTAAGGGACAAAGTGTCTTGGAGGCCTCAGCATAATCTTCATCCCTCAATCTGTTGCGCCACGGATCCTCCTTATAGAGGGTTCTCACGCTGGTTCGTCGCGAGATAACGTCGCGCGTCCCCACGTGTCGGACGGTACGCTAATGGCGGGCCAAAGGCGAACTCTTGGCTTCCCTGAGACGTAGGTGGATCCAGAAAATGGACTCCCTATTGTTCCTGCTGTGCTAGTTTGACACATATCCTCTGTGTTTAAGAAGACGTATTCGTACATGTCTGCATCAATGTGTTCTCGTTCATGCTGATTGTATTTTATATGTTAATTCGGCCAAATTTTGCAATCAAATGACATGGGAGTATGTGGGAGGTGGTTACAATGCGCCTCTAATAATCAAGTTCCCGTCTACTCTGGGATAGACTGGCAAGTTACCCATGAGTAAGTTCCATTTTCGGAACTCAGCAATCTATGTATGGGCGTTAAAAGCTAAACACAGCAAAATAAACGGTGCGTTCCTGACCCCGAAACAACTCTCGATACAGAACGTTTGGTAAGACAATTAGGAAGAGTGAGACTGAGGTGAAAATCGCTACGTACGATGAAGGCATAATATTTTCGTAATGTAGTCACTTTTTATTTAGTGCCCACTATTTTTTCTTGGCAGGTCATGATGTGAGGTACAGCTATAATGATGTCGAAATAATTGCGAAATTTCGGACCGCACACGTCTGTGGTCTAATTTATTTTTATATTTACAATATATTACAGTATTCTTCGTGGGCGCGTGTGGCGCAGTGGTGGGAGCCGCCATTGCAACACACACGTGGAATTGATCTCCGCGCCCATGGCTCACCGAGCCTTCCATCCCTCCGGGGTCGGCAAATTGGTACTATCCTTGTCTAGGAGGAAAGCAGCACTGGCTCAATACATCGGTAGGCCATCGCGAGTCATTCTAAAGGCGAGATATGTACTCAATCACTTCCAACAATGCTCAATGAAGTCGAATGCATGGTGAATCTCTCAGGGATTGATCAACGCCGAATCTTTATCCTTTATAATATTTTCCATCTACCGTTTAGCTCTCCTTCTAAAGGTAAGATTTATATGGGTTTGCGATAAGTACATATAATTTGTGGGCTCTAGATCCAAGAGAATGGATGGTGATATTGTCGGGTCTTGGGGCTGCATCTCTTTGCTTTCTCCATTCACATCGAGCTTCGCAGGACAGAATCCCACTCCCAGGTGGTTTTTCCCTAGCGGGGATTTCGCGGTGCGAGACAGGAATTGTGGAATGCAAAAAATTCGCACGTAACTTTCCTGTTATCAATTTTCTGTTATGGAAGGATGCGGTGATAGCCTTCTCACTGTTCATCAAAACAGAGAGCGGAACACATTAGGCGTACAGATCTCTACGGCACTTCTTCAAACTACACTGTTTTTGAGCTGCTTCTAAATAATAACTTGTTCAGCCTGTGCCGATGTACCTTTATATTTTTCACGCAGAATTTTGCGAGGTTCGGTAAAGAGATTAGCTTATTCTTCAAAAATAAGGCATTTAGTAGCACCGAAACACTGATATGTTGACAAAATGATGATCAGTGATAATCGTTCTTCCAGGCATTTTTAGGAAACTGCGTTTACAGTGAAAGGCATGGTGCCGTACTCGATAAATTGTAGGCAACTTGCGAAATAGCTTCCAACAAACAGTTTATCTCTACGTATGTGATCACAGAGACACGTACCAGTCCAGTTATAAAGTTCAAGGCGTCACCTTGTCCAGGTCGAACATGGTTGATATTGCTTATCGTTATCGTTTTCTAACATTCTACCTCCAATGAATTTTGTGATGTAGCAGCATTTCACAAAGCGGGCTACGGGGTTAGTGAAGTTAGCAGTCATCTGAGTCCCGAATATTCTCCGGAAATTAACGTCGGGTTTCAACCTGTGTTTTCAAAGTGGGATATCTCAGATAGAAATAAACTCTATATGTCGAAATGAACCATTAGAATCGAAGCATTTTCGCCGACAAGGATCTAGTGTTAAGCACACTTATTCCACTTGATTAAAAGATTTCCAAGAGTTCTACGCGTATTCGCTTCCAACAAACCGTTCAGATCATCGTCGTCAATAGCAGAGTGAAGTCTGCAACCTCCTCCATCTTCAGCGTTGACTATGCTGCGACGAAATTTTCCAAGCTAACATTAAAATGTACTTCCGTTAATAATTCCTTATCCCCATACCACATATCTCGGGCCTTTTGTGTTGCGTGCGACCGGGTTTAAATCCATAAAAGTGAAGTTATGGAAATTACTCTTTTAGCACCTTAATTTCTAACCTGTAGAGTTTTTCAAACTTCCAATTTATATCGTAATTCAAGTGTACTTTGCAAAACAGAATAAAATGAGCTATCTTCGGATGTATAATATTATAAATATAATAATACAGTATTCAAAAAAGCTATTGCTAGAAGACACACAAGATATCGAAATTACAAAAATGATTTTAATTTCGGAACAACCTAATAAATCTGTAGCACGACCCGCTGTAAACATCCCATCGGTTTGTTTTCGCTGACTTTCGTTATCTTGAATGCCACTTTATTCCTATTTTTGTTCAACACCTCACTATTTTTATTTTCCATTTTTTGTCATCAGAGTTCATTCTTGAAATTTGGACCGATCTAAAACTTAGGTAATTAAACATAGGTCAGGGAGTTACAAAGTTATAATCCGTTATGACAAAACAATTTATAAAGATTGAGTGAAAGAAGTATAAAAATTCGTAGCTAACCGATCCTCAGGAATGAAAACACGTTCGGCAGAAGAAAATTCAGTAACAACAACCTAGCATTTGAGAAACTCAGTTGTACTTCATATAACTTTGCTAAATATGTGATTTGTCATAAAAACTCGATGAGAAAAATAGTAACTAAACATCAAGCACCATCTTATTTGCCAGGAGTAGAACGATGTCAGACGAGAAGTTTGAGGTGAAAGAGAGCGATATGGATGAGGTCGAACAAGCGGTGGTGATGGGAGTAGTACGTGAAGCTCAACGATTGTACAACATAGATAAGGTACACAATTTAGACAAAATTATTCCTCTTTTCCAATATATGTTCCAAAAATAATCTTAATCAACCTCTCCGTTAAAAAAACCTTTCATTAAACAGTTAGTGTTAACAAAATGATGAAGAATATCGATCGAGTAAAGTGTATTTGTGTGGTTATGGTGTTCCGTATAGTAACTCAGAGGATCCACGTAGAGCACGCCGTATCTGTCTTTCTTTCTTTCCCTCATTAAGACTTAGAGCTAGCTATATTCATCGTCTAAGAGGGTTATTCATATTTTTGATACCACTTCTGTTCGCAGGCTCCAAGAAAGCTCCTTTGATTTCTAATGTGAAGCACCAACATGGTCGAAGATCTCAAAGAAACTGTTCAGCTCAATGAAATTTATATTACTTCATTTTCTAAACCATCCTAGTAATAATACTGTTTGTCCCGCAAGTTAAGTAGTAAATCGAACATTCGAACTTTTAGAACCAGGTGTAGATTACTATGGGGTACCTGGCAGCAACTCAAATATCATAAAAATACACAATGAATATTTTAAAACAAAGGTTTCTGAGACGAGAGTCTTTGATTTCATCACAAAGAAAACGTGGGCAAGTTACCAAGAAGTCACTGGTAAGGGTCTTCTCTGAGGAATATCTGTGAGTTGTTTCAGATGCAGATATCAAGGCTATTTAGGACGTCGCCGCGTTTATTAAGGAGGAGCTGGACAAACAACTTGGAGCAACCTGGCATGCAATTTGCGGAAAGTGCTTCGGCTCCCGGGTGTCATACGAGATGGGACACTTTCTGCTGCTTAAGTGTAACAAGGTAGGTGGACGGATCTATAAAGATTCGACGTGAACAAGTACAAACCTATGCAATATGCTCCGCGTTCCTTTCTTCGAAACAACACCTTTCTATACAACATAGGAACTGGCAGTGTTGCTCGACTTGTCTAAGGAATTTCAAAGCCCTACTATAGCATTTGAAAGCAAGTGACATAATGGTTGATCGGTTGAGATAATTATTCCATTGAGCGTTAATGTGGCTTCAGAAACAAATCCGTTTTTCATGAACATCGTCTTCTCGAAACTTAATCGAAGATTAATTTCCTCACATGCGTTGTCACAGTCGACTAGCATTTGATCCGCCTGGATTGATGTTTTAAAAACGACATCATCGGCAAAGCGAAGATGGTGTAGCTACTGACCATCGATTTTTACTGTCATGTTATTCTATCCAACTTTTCGCATCACATTCATTAGAGATCTGTAAATAATTCCTCAAGGGTGCGGTGTCGTCTATCGTGACTCTCCTTTTATATTGAAAGAAGTATCATTGTACAGTAGGATAATTCTGGTTGTGAAGTAGTTGTGTCTTTGAAGAATCTCTGTTACGTAAGAAAACCACAGCTGTTCAGAGCTTCAATGAATGATTTTGTCTTGAGACCGTCGAAGGCCTTCTATAAGTTACTGAAACTGTGACAAAGCAGCCTCCCGCACTCTGTCGATACCTCAGTGAGTTTCGTTATCGTGTGTGTATGACCAAATGTACTAAACCTTCTCATAACTTTGTCTACTCACATGGCTGCCATTTTTATAATACCCCGTTAATCTTTTTGAAGCTGACTCCAGTACAAGCCTAGCAAACAACAGATGAAAACTAGGTACTTGAGTAACAATGCGGTTCTACTGGTTTTTCACTGATAGAGAATCTTCCAACATGACAGTTCAAGGGTGAAAAGCCAGATCAGTACGTTGTTGTTGAAATAATTTCTCTAGATATGCACTCTCTCGATGTGACCACCATAGGCATGTCATCGGACATCCGAGTTTTAGGTATATGTTGACTCACCTTGTATAAACCTCCACATTCTATTCTTCTTTGGCATAACTATGGTTCAGCAAATGCAAAGAGCGAAAGGCATATACACGTACACATATATCTGTTTAATATATGTCCATACATCACATGAAATGCACTACTCGATCCAGTGCAATAGAGAGGAGGAGTTCACAGATCTGCCCAGGACTTAGAGGAACTGCAAACTCTCCTGATCCACATTTTATCCCTACAACAAACACCCCTGGTTCCAATGAGGGAGATCCCTGGATTCAAATAACATAGTGGAGTTTCAAAAAGTCCATTGTTAGCTAATAGCATTGAAACATAAGATTGGGAAAACTGTCGCATAATTGTAGCACGCGTTGGGATATTTCTCTGCACTTGTAGTATGACGTAACTTGTGATCCCATTTCAGGTAAATGTGATGGTTTTCAAATGTGGATATTAATTCTACTTCGAAGCAACTATCCTCCTCACTGTACATAACCATGTCTGAAATCCTGCTTTAGTGACTGCGTTCCATACGTATTCGTACGACAATATTCATGTTTGGTCTGGAGCAATGGATATATAATAAATGTCCTAACAGCGCCTTTTACGCAAAGAATGATATGTATTCTGTCTCAACACTCCCCGAAACAGTCCAACCAGCCAATTTCTGGGTGGATTTATTATGCTTAGGAAAAGTGGACACCAAATCCTCCCAAAATTCGCCACAGTTTCATCCTGGTTGTCCTTTTTGAAAATCCTGAACTATTTTACAACCAAAAAAGTCGAATTGGACATCACATATGCAATAAGCAGTAGACAAAGTGAGAGTGAAGATCTCTGGGAACAAAACGTACATGTTCATTGCACCATTATGGCGATGTTGACAGAAAACAGCTTTAATAGTACTAACGAGATTTACCATAGTATCGGTCTACAAATACTCAAGGCTACTGAAAATAATCATAAGATGGTAAATTTGTTACTACAGTGGATCATATTCCAAGCCAAGACCGAACTTGTGATTGTCATTCGAGGTTAAATTGAATTGACTAGATAGCGTAATCTTCAGTTCGGGAGCAAGATTATTTGTCAAAGCCAAAGCAACCTGTAACAATAATAAGTGTTAAAAAGCGCTCACATTCAATACAAAACCCCCTCCTCCGATGTTTACCTGGCTACTATTGTTTAGTTTTCCACGAAGCACCAGATCCTTCGTAGGACAATATTTTGAAGCGAGACCAAATTCAACTCCGCTACCTCCAACCTGTAACTGTCGTAAATACGGTGGAGTTAGAAACAGTACAGCGTCGTGACAACTTGTGAGATCTAGGAAGCGTTTTAAAAATAAGGCATTGCGTAAGTCCGAAGAATAAAAAAGGTGCAAAACAATCATACGCTTTATTGAAAATCTTACAATCTACAACGATATCTTATGTCTTTACCTGGTGTTCAAGGTTTCGCATTCTCCAATGGTTCCAACAAGGTGGCTTTTAGTAAAGCTTTCGCACATTATAACCAACTAGTTTGTGCATATATCCAAACCTTTTAAATCTGGATGGAACTAAAGGAAGAAGATATGAAACTACCGAACACGCTACAGATAAGGTGGTTGTGAACTGTCGTACAACAAAAAGTAAGAGAACGGACCCGAAGTCTCATTTTACATCTTCCTGCTTAATGTATAAGCAAATATATTCAAAGCTACAACAGCCTGACAACTGAGTTGCCCGAATTACAAGCACTAGTAAAGATCCGTTGGCGATTTTCACTGCACAACATATCACACACATAACAAGAAAACCACCGATCCGATGTTGACATTCTTCGCGGTGTCGATGTCGGTGTCCCTATTCATGTTGAATGGGCAACACTGATATACTACTGGAACGGATGGAAAGCTCACTAGCACCATTCCAATCACTCGATAACTAAGTGTAGAATAGCGAATGCAGACGATTTAATCTCCAATAGTCTTAGCAAAAGTTTTCCATTTCTTCCAAACATCGGGAACATTTTGACAATTGCTAATGGTTTTCCCGCATTAACAATAGTTAAAAACCGACAAGACTAGAACTCCATCATATTATTGACGGTATAATAGTAATCGCACCAAATATCGGACAAGCAAAACTAGAAGGTTAGTTCCTAACACATGCTTGAAGAGCTGAGCATGAAAATGTGTGGCCACCGATAAAAAGCTACTGAGAAGGAGCTTATATATAACTTATAGTCTCAACTATAACTATAGCTATAACACGGAAATTCTTGTAGACTAATCGTTTAAAACTCAGAATAGAAAGTTCATAGCTTCTGCTCATGTGGCTCTCTCTATTGTGATAGAAAGTTAGGTGGGAGCATGTGCAAGAATGCATGAGACAAAAATACTGCAAGCTCACCGATTTGAAGTTGGAGATGATATGCAAAAAAGTATTTCAATCAAAAATTCTAATGAGAAGAAAAAACAGTAAGTGAACATCACTGGTTCCGCATAAAGTCCAAAGAACCCCACTCGACGTCTGTTATATCTCTAGGGTTGTATTCCACTTTGATAAACACTTCTACATGATACTACTATAAACTTGCTAAAGCAACACCCGGAATATTGAAAGGCTCAAAGCGCTGGAAAAGTTTAGTTCAGATGTTTCATGGCATCTTATGGAAGACACAAGATCGTACATCAAACTAACTGATTGGTTAAAAAAAACTCAGAACCATTACGCTAGGACAATAAATTTCTCAGTTTAACGTGTATAAAGGTTTTCGAAAAAAAAAACTAGTCGTTGACAGTTCTACTGTTTGGTCCTTCGTAACAAATGAATATTTTACAAAGCGTTTCTCTAGGTTAACACCGGACAAAAATTCGCACCCATCATTCTAAACAACAAGCACCCAAAAGTATATGACCAAATACCACCGTTAACGAGGTTGGAAATATGTGTGATGAAATGGACGATAAGAACGCATAGCGTTCCGGGGTCATTTTATCAATGCCTGGGAGAAACGCCATGCACTGGACTTCACCATGGATCGTCGAGGTGGTATAAAGTGTACATAGCCAATAACTAGCCAATACAATAACTTGTGATTGTTTACCGATGTATCATATCATTTTTCTCATTTTCTTAGACTACTCCGACACCAATCTTCCCCCCAAAGATGGAAGTCTTAATGAGTCCGGAGCAAGCTAGCTAACCGGCGATCTATTCAGTGTGTTTTGCAAGATACCTTAACCAGTGTGCTACATACATCCTATGCAGACGAAATTCCTGAACTTGTAATAGCGTATATGTCGACGAAATCTAGATCTGCATCTGAACTATTTCATTTGCGACCATGTAAAGATCTGTTCAAAATGATAAAAGGTATAAAACCAGCTTTTACCTCTCGTGCACTACGAATTTCCATTACACCGGAAGTGGAAAACTAGATAAACACTACATTCCATGACAGGATAACTTTTCAATTAATGCATACCTTCCATCCAAGCATTGTTCCGACTTCGACATTGGGTGCGACCTTATGGAATAGCGACGCTCCGAAGTCATTCGAATTCACGACAAAGGAGTGGAGAGTGTAACTACTCGTCTGATGGCCGAAGGCCAGAGAAGTGGTTGCCACCTAAAACTAAATTTTACCTACGAAAGAAATAACAGACAGAACAGATGGAATACAAAGTAAACACACCTTGTTAGTCGCAGTCTCAAAGGTAGCAGCAGCACCAAATAACCATCCATCGCGACTAAACACGCCAGCAGCATTGATAACAGGAGATGCGGTGAGGCCTAATTCAGCAGTGATCTGCAAGAGATAAAAATTAAAAGGGATATAACCTCTGAACAGCTAAGAAAAAGTGAAAGGATGTAAGGTACAAAGCAAACAAACCCTTGCAGTCTGACCAGCCCAGTCAAGTTTTAACTTTCCAGTTCTTTTACCAGCATGAGGAGCGTAAAGCGAATCAAAAATAAGTTTAAGTCCACGTCCAAACTGTTCGTTAACCTCGATAATTGTTCCCAGTTGATTCTCGGTATTCCATTTCTCGATAAGCGTAAGACCTAAAAATCATAACGGTAATACAGACCTTATTCACTAGGACAGATGCCAGAATTATCCACAAACTGGTTGTAATTGCGCAATATTGGGTGATACAGGTCTTTAAATAACGCTGATGACTGAAAATTATGAGTTCTTCAATAAGTGTTAACAGCCAAATTAGCTAAAAAGCAAGTCTAAGACACACTAAAAGGCTATAATCGAGACATAAAGACTTAAAGTTAAGTATACACTAAAAACCCTAGCAGTTCTCAGTAGTGTAGCAAAGCGTCCACTTATACTACCACAGTAACCGAACATAAGAAGGAACAAAGTAATACCATAAGAAGGAATCTTATACTTCACATCCAAGTTCCCTCCAAGTTTTCCAGATCCAAGATTGTGTGCAGCCGATGTCTTGAACTCTACTTCTTTATTGTCACCAGCCTTTGTTGTTGCATCGACCTTCAGAAAACCATGATCTGAAGCACGGATTCCATTCTGTACTCGTAACAGTGCGAATTTTTGACTCACTGTATCCCTTAGTGAAGAGGTCTCTTGCAGATTTTCCAAGGTCAGCAAAAGTTGGGGGTGACATCCTGCAATACTTCATTAAACACACCAAAAATGGTTATCATGATGAAAACCGATAGTAGAAGATTTCTCGGTTAAAAACATAAGGGGTTAACCAGTACGAATACTGAGCAAATGGAATGAAATGTTGTAATAGCCGAAGAGGAAGAAAACTTCCTAACGGGCATTTACAATAATCTGTTGCGAATGCCGGATACTGTGTTCTCAAAAATACCGACGGCAACAACATTACACCAAAACCATGGCAATGCTAATATTCCACGTATTCTAAAGCAGCTGCGGAATGGATTTAGACAGAGCTATCACATGAGACAGCATGTCATAACATGGTGAAGAAATCGGTAGTGTTTACCACTGACTGCTCCAATGTTTGGGAACGTCAGTGATGGAGCCTAACCATCATGAAAGCAGTACTTCAGAATAATCTCAACAGATAAATAAGATACTAATGTTAACCCTTTATTTGCTGCCTATAATTTTTACGACAAGGTATGATGTGGAATACAACCACAACGTTGCTGAGATACTCGCAAAACCTATACCAAACCCGCGCTAGATCGATATTGGAATAAAAGGTTAACATTGTGATTTCGACTACAGCCTCAGCTTAATTGGGTTCAACGCCGATTTTTGCTTCCTAGATAAATTCCGCTGACGGTTGATTACCGACAGTGGCGTAAGGTAGAAAACTAGCTGAGAGAAACCCAGAGTAAGGGCAACCATGGCGCAGTCTGTAATGCGCGAGTCCCCGGAAATCGTGGTTCGATCTGGCCCGGGGTCGAAGTTTTGCGAATGTCTCAACAACAGTGTAAAATACTAATAAACAAACACAACGAGTATAAGAAAACTGAATGAGATGGTAATAAATAAACACTGGAATGTAACTTTTAGCAGCGAATACTAGCACATTAATGCAATGTAAGAAGAATTCCTCCAATTTCCTCAAGTAAAGTGTTCCACTTCGGAACAAGCATTTGCAGAAGTGCGAAACCACTAGGGGCTTATAATGTCTTAAGCCCATTTTGAACTTAAGCCGTCGATACTATGGACGAACGACGACTTAAGCTCTGGTTCCTTACGGAAATAAGTACAAGGTCACATACGGCGTTGACGTAACGATGTCTCCATAGGCCTGCCTTATTACGTACTGCAATTCTAAACTTCGCTCCAATTATGAACAAAGAAAAGACAACTGGTACGCTCCTGATTAATACAAAATAAAGAAATATATTCAAGAACGGCGACAGAGCTAAATGAGGAACTCTGAGCTAATGCGCCGCACAACCACGCGCGTTGCCAATCCAACGGGCGGTACCTCGTATGGTCAGAGACGCAGTAGAGCACACATCGATACTACTCAACACACACCTTTTTGGTGCAATAACTTGACGGAATAAACAATTTATAAACTCTGAGCGATTAAGTAACACATTTCCATGGATGAATACAACTGTGCAAAGTGCAACATGCATCTCTCTTAAAAATCAGCTTGGTATGGAGTGGATATAACGCGCTCCACGGCAATAGAGGTGAGAATCAGACAGACCAGAGTGGAGAATGGTACGCCTTTGCAATAGGTTCTCCCAGGTTCAGTCTGACGCTTCGGACGAGTTGATAGGTAGGATTTTTCGATCAGGATCCATGGAGATGGAGTCTGTCGTTTCATATTACCAGGATTTTTCGAAGCAAGTTACACTTTGCCCTACGACCGTATCTCTGTTTGGGTATGGGTGGTGCTTCTCACGCCGATTTCGGCTCAAGTTGTCCTTTGGGACCACGCTGTTCATTTAACGCATCTTTTTAATAGGGATGCGTGTTATTTTGCACACCACCGTACTCCAGACCAAGTTACACTTTGTGGGAAACATTGATGAGTGCCCAATTTAGTGCGGGTTGAGTCTGATGCTTCAGACTAGTTGCTGGGCAGGATTTTCTCGATATGTTACGGGAAGTTTGATCGAGACGAACAGTTGTGGACCTACGGAAATGGCTTCTGTCATTTCATTTCACTTAGATTCTCGGGAACAAAATGCTCTTTTTGGGAAATTGACGAGTGTCTAACTTCTGAACAGAGGATAGCTTTATTGACGCTGAGTGCGAAACTACATGTACACGTTTACAAGTCCCCTCAGTGATTTACCATCTTGTACTGGAGAAAAGGATGTCTCCACCTGCAGAAATTCGGTTTTGAAGTACAGCAGGAGTCGATTGGATAGAAGAAAACGCACGACGAAGCTTCTCTACAGCAGGATAGACGGTCACAAAGAGAAAATGAGTCAGTAGCAACTCATGCCGGTTGCCCCTCACATCCGAGTGCAGATCGACTCACAATGGATCCAGAGTGATAAGGAGCGTCACTTTCAATGCTTACAACAGAGTTTAGCAGACTAAATGTTGGATAGAATCTTCAAAAACTTGTAAATACTATGAGAGAGATCATGTTATTGCAATAATACAATGAAACTTTTCCATTGCATCTTTTAGTTTGTATCTTCGTGTTGTGCATCGTGTATCTTTTCCATCGACCCAAACTGGATGGTTCTCTGTTTAGGAAGACAACCTCTTACGTGTAGCCTCCATGTTCAATGAACATGGATAACAACATGAAGGGGGAATTAGGCAGAAGAAGAAGAGTAGCCTGGGCCTCGTTAGGGCCTGTCAAAGAAGCCACCGACCAACTAATGGACACAAAACTCCGAGCTCACTGTTATACAACAGGAACATCGGCTGACAGTTCGGCCATGGCAAGAAATCTGCGCACCACCCACACAGCGCTTCAACGATGTCTTCTGAAATTTATCCGGCACTCGCAATGTCTAGCCGCAATGCGAACCTCCGATCCTCGAAATTTATCTCACCTTCGGATCCAGACGAAAACACATCGGTAGCGAAATATAAGTGGGCCGGTCATATAGTGAGAAGTACAAACAGATGAAGAGAAAGAACTGTATGGTGGATTCCATGACGATACAGGCGTTTCCTAGGGCGGCCTTCTAAACGTCAGGCAGACATTATTTTTCAGTTATCCATGGAAATTAGGTCTTCGGGTCAGTTCTAGGCACCGATTAGTCACTAGCTCCAAGTAGAATGCTCGGCTTCGTACGAAGTTGCCATGCGTGATTTTTTCGATGCTTGTCACAAAGCAATACCTTAGACTTGGACAACTCATATAACAATAATAATGCATTGGTAGCAAAATGGCCATAGTGAGACCATAAGTGTAAAGAATAAAAGCAACAGCGTGACTGATAGGTAGAGATATTATAGAGACCACTATGGTGCACTACTAAAGGTAAAGTGTTTTGAACAATATTACTATAGTGATACGACAGAGAAGTAATGATACTTGCCACTGTTGCCCATGGAACATGGTCGTGTGGGTGGAGTCCTAGGTCGAGATGGGAGTTGCTATACCTTGTCCGTCCACGGGTCTCCCTCGTAGAGGCGTCTCATACCGGTCAGTCGCGAGGCAACGTGGTGCGTCCCCAGGTATCGGATAGGGGGTTAATCGCGGAGCAAAAGCAATCTTTGCTTCCCTGAGAGGCAGGTGAATTCAGGGGATTGAGTCGCTGTTTCTGCCGCGCCGATTAGGCGCATACCTGTTTTTACGAAAACATATTCAGGCATGCATGCATACGTATGTTCTCGTCTATGCCGATTTTATCCCACGAGTCAATTCGGACAAAAGCCTGGAATCAAGCAGGAGGGAAGTAAGTATATATGGGGCGGTTAGGAGCCGCCTCCAAAAATAAGTCCACGTCTATTCTGGGAGAGACTGGCAAGCTACCTGTGAACTTGCTCAGCCCTCGTGTTCAGGCCTCAGCAAGCTATACGTGGCTATCAAGAAACTAGACATAGTGAGATAAACGGGCCTCCTTTTCCTGATCCCGGAAGAGCCCGCTATACGACAGCATTGAATAGGACGAGTACAGAGAAGCTGCTAAAATCTTATGGTCATTCTAAATAGAAAAAGAAGGATAAAGCTCTCGGCCTTGACCCCTTAGCGATGCGCCATACACTCAACTTCGTTAAGATCGTTTGGAGGTGATTGAATGCATACCTGGCCTTTACAATGACTTGCAGTGACCTAAGGATGTATCGAACCAGTACTGCTATCCTCTCGGACGAGACTGGTACCAATTTGCCAACCCAGGAGAGTTGGAAGGCTTGGTGTGCCATGGGTATGGGGATCAATGGCATGTGTATTGCAAAACGCCTTCGACCATTGCACCACGCGCCCTCAGGCTCATTCTAGGCTGTCTAAATTACAAAGGACTGAATCTGTGCCTACATTACACGCACGCATGCATCTGAACACTTGATAAAAGACTATCATACAGGCAAGAAGAACAATGAACTGAGCCATCGCAGTGTCCTAGTAGAGAAGGCACCATCCACTCAACGCTGTCTGTAATTCTGGGAAAGAACTGTTTCTTGGGAGACGCGACAGTAGAAGAGTCGGTGTTTGGCCATGAAAATTCATTCATTCGAACAACTAACAACTCTTATCGGACTTTTACAACTGAAGAGATGTGGATCAATAGCGGCTTTGACAGTCTTCGTCGCTTAAGCACTGCCTTCAAGCTAAGACGAAGAAGTCGAAGCGTTCAGCAGGGACTTGGAGAGGCTCTACAGAGAAGGCCACACATTCTTCATGGTCATCACTGGAGACTTTAGCGTTAAGACTGGACCAAGAAGAGCGTCTGAAGAACGTCACATCGGGATACACGGATTAGAATGGGGACCTGTAGTGTCAGTGGTTGTCTGAGTTCGTCACGATGACCAAGACCATTTATCGTAACTCGCAATTCCAGAAACCCAAGCCTCAGCGCTGGACGTGTGAGTCTTCCAATTGAGAGAACCATGTAGAAATAGACCACGTCAAAGTAAATCGAAGGTTTCGCCTAACCAATGTTGTTATCCCAAAATTTTACACAGGATGAGACCACCACCTCCGTTTCTCGCGGAAAGGAGAAAAAGTTGCTAAATTCAAAAACTGGGATTTATTCGATTCATCAGTCGGCTGTTGGGAAGATGCCGTTGTCGATAACATCGACGAAGAATACGATCGGCTCATTCAACGTCTTCACGTTAGTGATATGAAAGCTGAGAGTTCGAAAGTCACCAAGAGACGTTTGTCTCCAGAAACACTCGAGCTGATATGCCAGCGTGGAATCACACGAGCTGCAGGCGATCGCTAACTAGCGTCTGAACTTGCAAAACAATGCAGAGAGACGGTAAAAGAATATTTCAAAGAAAGAAGAAAAGCAGTTATGGTCGAACCTGCATAACCTGGGAAAAGCATCCGCAAAGCTCACCGAGGCTTGGCCAGTAATGAAACCACGGTGATTGCACTCCGACGCTCAGACGGAACAGTTACAGCGTCCAGAAAGGTGATGGAGAAAACCATTCATGGTTACTACTCAGATCTCATTAATAGCCATCTCCTCCTGCCATCATATAAAATAATGGAGGATGGATGCGTCATCCCACCGGTTTTCCTTCCAAAATCTGACATGATATCTCATCGGTGAAGAACCGAAGAACACCTGGAGCACGGACAGGATAAGACTTAGACCTGGTCACCAAAAGAATCTTCCGCCAGTCCTCATAAACACACTGGATCAGCTCTTCACATGTTCCCTCTCGGAATGCAAGGTTCTCATTCAGCGGAAGACCAGCAAGACTGTGCTATTGTTCAAGAGCGGTGACCTCCACGATATCGGCAACTATCACTCAATCTGCTTGTTGTCTGCCGTCTACAAACTTTTCACTGGACTCATCCTGAACAGGATTGGCGGAACAGTGGACGAAGAGCAACCAGCTGAGCAAGCAGGGTACCGAAAAGGATTTAGTACGATAGATCACATCCACACGATAACAAGACTTACTGAAGTATCGCGAGAGCACAAAAGACCGCTCTGACTCACCTTCACCGATTTAAAGAAGGCTTCTGACTCAATTGAGAAAGAGGCAGTCATAGAACCACTAGACAGCCAGGGGGTCTTCACTCAGTAAATAAAGACTCTTCGTGAGCTATATAAAAATTTTGCAACCAAATGGTCACCATTCTATAAGGATAATAACATCGTGCCAAAATTCTTCACCACCGTTCTCGCGAACGTCGTGTGAACGCTGGAATGAGGCAAAATGGGAGTGAAAATCGATGGTTGGCAGTTACACAACCTTCGATTTGCTGATGACATCGTCCTTATAATACCAAACATTAGCGAGGCGGAATGTATGCTTTCCGACTTTGATAAGGCCTGTGCAAAGATTGGTCTCCAACTAAACCTCACGAAAACGATGTTCATGAAGAACGGATTGGTTTCGTATGCTCCATTCACGCTCAACAGAATGAATATCCTTTCCACTTCCGCTTTACAGCAGAAGTGGAAAGAACTGTTCAATCAATGCCGATATAGAGAACATTCTTCGTTCGAGAACATCTCGGAGACTGTTCCTTCTGCTCTCTTCTTGTGCAGAGGTGAGTCGGAGAGGTAATGAACCAGTTTGTTTTTATTACTTGGATTTCCGTGCTATTTGGTGATGTACCTGTTCTTGGAAAGATTAAACGTGAACCTCCTTGGATTCTTAGGCTAACATAAAGCTGATAAAGTTGCTTATTAAGCTAACATTTCGACGTCTCCGTCTTCATCAGAGCCGATGATCCGAGTATAGAGAACATTCTCCACGAATATTGGAATGTTCTCTATGTAGAACAATTACAACCTTATGCCTTCTACAACACCTGTCTATTCGCAATCGTCATACATCTATTCTTGCACATTCGGTAAATCATCTCTTAACAACCGTTTCATGCAATTGCCTCGCAGGTGGCTGGAAAGGGAATCAGCAGCAGTCAGCTGAATGCACTTTTCAGCATCTGTCGTTCCAAAAAGTCTCCGAACAGACACCTGCACCCTTCCACATGCAACCCCTCTCCGGACGCCGCCTTTAGTTCTCTCTGGCAAAGCTCCACCCACTACAGATGCAATACAGGCAGCCCATAGGACTGGTCCTGAAATCTTAGCCGCGTTCAACCGGTCTGCTTCCGGTCCTTCAATTCCTCAGTGCTCCAACACCAGTGTTCGCGTTAATTCCTTCAAGTGTATCAATTGTTACCATCTCAATTCCGCCTTTATCCACCCAGCTTACATATCGCCAAAGATCACACATTATTGTATTACCGTTGCATTAATCATACAGTTGTACTGTTATGCCAATCTCTTCACTCATAAGCAACCCGAATATCAGTGACCAGGCTGCATCTATTCATTACCCGTATCATTGTTGCAGTATCTGTAGTTGTATTGCTATTATTGTTGTATAATTATGATAAACGGTTTAATTACCCAAGTTTGAGGTGTCCGGCATCGTGACTGCTAATCACAAGAAGTCCCGCGTGGCGTACACAAAGGCGATCAGCTAATTCCGACCGAATCGTCCTAACTACTTGGTATTCCTATATCAACGAGCCGTCCCAACAGCCGAAGTTAATAGAAAGTCGGACGTGGAAGAATGAATATCGCTGAACGCTCCGGCTACGTCTTCGTAGGTCAAGAAATCAACGTGATGAACAGTAGCTCCAGAGCTGAACGGAAGGAGACAAGCAGTTTGGGGAGCTTTCGAGTGCATCGAGGATATAGTTAGGAGAACAAAGAACACCCGACTCCGTGCCCATCTTTTCGACTCAACGATACTTCTTGCCCTAACGTCTGTGTCAGGAACTTGGTCGCTAAGTAAGCAAGATGTAAGGTCACTCATCACTGTCGCCCTGCAGTCGAAAGAACGATGCTAGGAGTATCCCGTGTCACACTAGTAAGGAAAGGGATCCGAAGCTCCGACCTGCGTCAACGATCAAAAATCAAAGATGCAGTTTTGTGTGCCAAACACTTGAAGATAAGACGGGCCAGACACACAATACACATGAACGACAGTCAATGCACAAGAGCCGTTAATGGCTGGATTCCTCGGGATATCAAATGTACTGTGTAGGAAGTAGGAATGTAGGAAGACCACCAAATCAATTGTCAGATTTCTTTACAAAAACCTGAGAAGAACGGCGTGATGCCCAACGAGTTCCTAGAGCGAGCAGAACCCACTAGGCTATTCTTGCAAAAAATGGAAGAATTACTGGATCCCGCTCGAGTCATTCAACAAGCAACGGGACGACAACTGATATAAGCGACTTTGTTTGTAACCAGAGTCAACCAGCTGTACTCGCAGCCGCAGTTGCTTCAAAGATGATGGTATAGGGGTCGCGCCCCCTTCCATGCTCGAGTCAAACCATCTTCATGAATGAGTACGATGGAAAGAAATGAATGGAAGAAAATATGCTGATGTCCTCATAACTAATGAAGACGGGCCGTCCACGTAGTCACACATGTTACATAATTTTTGAGGGATTTCTAGAAGATCCCCGACCCTACTTACTATATATCGAGTAGTTTATTTTTGTGCTGTTTTTATTTTTAAAACACTAAACATGTTTATTAACTTATTAATTCATTGGTAAGTTTAAATGGGCTTGTCATTAAACATTACTCGGGTGTTCCGACTTTTCCGCCGTCTTCAAAGCCGGCATCATTACAGGCCGTTATCCACAACAGTTCATTCTTGCGATATAGGCCTTCGTAGTCGCTGCGGGTTGAACTAGGTGGAATGGGGCACCACTCGAATGAAGTTACCTTAGTCAACATTGCCGAAATATGTAACCAAATCAAAACCGACTATAATACATGAATTTTCCATGTCCTCTTTATCGCGTATACATCGTAAAATGAATTTTGAAATCACATCGTGGTCATGATACAAATAGAAAACCTAGAAATAGCAATAGTGGAAGTGAAACTTAATCAAGAAGTCGTGGAAATTCACATTCATTTTTCTAGTTGATTAATACGTCGCGTAAATGTGTGATAACACACTGATGGTCAGTTGGAAACTATAATCGATCGATAGCAATTCTAACAAAGAGAGTGGCCGAGTCATCGGGAATATGCTGGAAGCCGGTGTTCAAGCGTATGGTTGAATAACCTAAACATGTAATGAATGAATGTATTCCAACATTTCTATTGTTTTGAAGAAGTTATCTCGAATAAAATGTAAGAAATTCTACCAGAGAATACTAAAACCGAAAACAAAATCTCTAGAGTAACCAACCTCTCCGTACACTGGACACAGGAATTGAGAACTCTCCGATGAAATCATTACTAGACGTGGAGTCAAAGTCCTTCACGCAAAACCGCAGCAACGTTATTTCAGGGCAATAAAGATCTCTTTCGAACGACTGATTCCAAATAGGATTGAAGCCTGAAGTACGTAAACCACATTTCCTAAAATGGTTCACTAAGGAAAAACGTATGAAAAAATATTGACCATTGTTTTTTATAACCTTAGTCTTCCACTTGAATTCGTCACTAGGCGTTCCAAATATTTGAACAGAAACGTAAGGATCGATGATGTCCTTGCCAGACGATTTAGGCAGGTACTGAGCACTTATTATTCCAATGCCTAGCTTCACTTTCGGCTTGAGCACACTTCGCGGATCTAGGAAGGTAGGTATTAGTTAAAAGGACAAAAAAATTAATCCACTTACTGACCTATTCCTTTCAACAGCATATCTGGCTTTAAAACGTATCCACAATTACCGTTTGAACGGAAAAGACCAAAGTTTAGGTCGAGTTCCTCAAAAAACATGAATTACGCATCATAGAAAAAAAGACAAGAAGAGGGAGGGTGAGGTTAGCGCAGTGGTTAAGGACGCCCTCGAACCATCGATCAGGAAGCTAAGGTGCTAATTCGACCTCAGCTCCCACCCTATCCTCCAATCCACGTGGGAATGCCTTAGCTAGGATATCTCCAAGATTGCAAGGAGAATCCATTCGACCAGTATTCTACGACATTTATAAAGAAGACGTAACTCTCAAGCAGCAGCGGAAACAACATGTGAAATTTTTGAAGACCACCGTGAACGGTGGATTCCATGGAAACGAATCGAATGCAAAAGTGCTGCGATCCGCACAGTAGGTGACAGGTCATGTAAAAAAAAGCAATATGAGAAAAACTTGCTGGGAGAAAGGCAAAGCAAGGGTCTCAGTGGTAGAATGGGTAATAAGTGAGTCATCGGAAAGAGTAATCGCGGGTTCGAACCTAGCCTGGGACCCGTGTTTTATAAACATCTCAGAATCATTGTGGTAGTATCTCGCATAATACGCTGCCGTGAAAAAAAAAACGATATGCAATAAATAAAAAGTTAAGACGAGAGAAGATGTTACAAACCATGATCAAGTATATCATGAAACTATAAGAAAAATGAGGTTAGGAATTCCAACTTACCTCGCCAGGTGTCTGCATATTCAGTGCTACACTTTGCACTCCACATATCCATGAGATAATAGGATGCATATTCGAGGAATCCTGTCGTAATCCCTATGAAATCGTGAACGTTTAATCATATACGATTAATCCCTATGTTCTTATTTTATTTGACGAAGCAGTAAGTAAAATACTGGCTCATATTGTAGGTCAACTTCACTCTTTGTTTTAGATTAGGGCAGGGGATGGAGACCACAGTGGTAGTAATGTAGTAATGTTCGGTCATCACGAACACGGTCCTAGTTCGATCCCGCTCCGAGTTCACTAAACCCTCCATTATTCCTCGGTGGGAAAATTGGTACCGAACTTGTCCAGGAGAAAATCGCTCTCTGCAATCCAATTGGGAACGCTCTGGCCCGGCTAACTGAGGACTCCAAAGACAATAGACCCGACTAGCATTCTGTTAAACACGAAGCGAAAATCTTCAAACAGCAGCCGAAGCCACACGAAAAAGTTATAAGACCTCAATGGATAATAAATGAGAAGAAACGAATAGAATGTGAGAGGTGTTGGGACCCGCACGGTAAATGTGAAGACGGGTCGTATAAAATAAAAAATGCCACACAAGAGCAGAGGTGAGGAATAAAGTTCACTTTATCAAGCCTAGTCTATCACAATGGCTCTTTTTAGATTGTTCAGCTTACAAGAAGTTGTTACACAAGTTTTATTCGTCTTTTCGACGTTTTCATCCTTACTAGAGCCGATAGACTCCAGTCGATTATCCATAGCCGTTCGCCCTCGCGATATGGGTATTCGTGGACATTAAATGCTTCGGAGCAAACTTCCGTCTCAACCTGCACTTTATTAAACAACGGAAAACTGTGCACTCTAGATATAGCAACAGTCTGCATCACTTCACCTTCCGCTGATCACGGAATGAATCGAAAGAGCACCAGCAAAGTTCTCACTCATCTCTGCTGAGCGATAATTAAACCTGTGATTTTTCCTGGTTGAAGATAGCATCAGAGTTTTTTCACCCAGGATTTTTACGAAATCTGACCATTAATTGAGTACTCTCTCTCTATTGTAAACTCTAAATCTCTCTGAACCCAGCCGAGAACATATTTCTTCGTCGTTAAGAAATATCACGTGCTCGGCCTACCTGATCTTCGAAATCTTCCCTTGTGCTCCAACGTCTATGTCCTCTGATCGTTCAAATTGACCGGAAATTTAGACTGTCTCGTTTAGGTGGGGGATACTTCTAGCACCAGACGGTGTCCAATAATGCCAACCGCATTTCTATACCATTATCCCAGCTACTTAGGATTATATTTCCTACGGTGTTAAAGTAGAAAATTTGGTAAAGTCAAAAACGAAGGTGTGAAGCTGGGCTTTGTTTTTTCTCTTGACTATATCCGCAGTGGGTTCTTTCCTCGTGTTTAACTTTTAAGCGAAGTTCATCATTCTGACTTCTCGATTTATACAGTTATTGCCGAAGAAATAGAAAATACTAGGTCTATTGTAGGTTGATCGAGTATTAGAAACGGATTCATTTATCATAAAATTTCTCTAGCAACCGAAAACTGAACTTTCCGCAGACGCTGTCGGTAGTAGACATCGCTGATTTTGGCTAAGTTCGATAACGTAGGAGCTGTTATAAGCATATATCATAACGCATGGTGAAGTTGCTTTCTATCGACTCTCACTCCTTTGTCATTGTATTCCACTCTTCGTATGACATTCGATCAGAAAAAGAAAAACCACATGGCAACTCAAGTTAACCTTTTTCTTTGCTGCTATTAACAATTTCTTTTACAACAAAGTTCTTTGTAATCAACCAGATTGGTTTAGGCTAAGTTTACCCTTTACACACGGTCTGGTATGGAATTCATATTACATATATACGCATATATATATGTTTATATATACGTACATATATATATGTACATACTTATATACACATATATTGTAGTGCTAAATAACTTTCTTAAGATGTTATAGCCTTGCAGAATCCCTCTTTTCTGTATCGATGAAGACCTCGTATAGATCGCTAAGGATCTTTATGTACTGAACAGGAACACAACCGAGATGAGAGCTTGTTTTCGGTTACTATTAGAGAATAGTATTTATACCCTTGTAATACACTAATGTATTTCCTCAATGAATGTATAGAAGCGTAAACGACAAAGATTTCTGTGTTGATCAATCACTAGAAAGATGCGCTATGCATCCAAGTTCTTTTACCCATAACGCCCCGACGTCGTTTTGCTTGCCTGGTCCAATCGAATACGAGCAATTTTCCGTCGGTTGCGGACTATCTGGGGTTTTTTTGACGATACAAATAATTCTTCAACGACTACAGCGTTACAAGGGTTCTGAACATGAAAGAATTGTAGAAGAGACTTTGATCTATCGTCCTATAGCAATTCTGCCAGCACTTGGAAGTATTTATTTTGCACCCATTCTGAGTCTGTTTTGGCGTTTTTAATATCTGCATATTCTATACAATGACTATATTGATTAAAATGAAACAACAGCTCTCAGTTATATCACCGCTCAATGAATTTTTTCAAAAAAAAAAAAGATTTCTGCAAGCGACTAAGTGTAGATAATGGTTTTCCTACTCTCATTCCTCCTATTTCGATCTCTTTTCGACTAGCTATCGAATGAATATACATTTTGCGACGGAAAAAAATTGTGGAACCCGCTAAACTCTATAAGGACATCACAGTGTCCACATTTTACAAGTGGATCTGATAAATACTTTTATGTACTCGTACTTAAAGATTTCTACTTTGGCATAGTTGGACAGCTATCTGCTTGAACTGATGGCGAAACCTGGGACAAAAGTATTGTGTCACAAACAAAAACTCACTTTCGATCGAGAAGTGAACTCCGAGTGGATTTCCTACGCTATATAGGTGCAAAAACCAGAAAAGTTTCACAAAAGTGGGAGGAGTTTTGATGGTGTAGCATCAGCGCCAAAACATCTACATATGCATTCTGCATTCAAAAATCAAAAAACCAACCTTTGGGTAGCTCTTGACAAAATGTTCTGCAGTATACGAAAATATCGGACTTCCTCCTGCGAAAAGAGTTGATATCTTACTTTCAGATAACGATGGAGAGCTGTCTTTCGGATCTATAAACATACCACACAATGACTGGCAACTAGGTCACCTTCTTCAGAGCCTGGAAAGGTCAAATTGAGATGCGATCTACTCAGCCAAACGCTTTCATAACCCTAGCAGATAAAACTTGATAAATCGATTTGTATTCGCATAAGAAACAGCTTCATTCAAACACCTACCGTTTATTTGTTGTAAGTATTTAAGTTAGTTGGTGGATAGCCGCCGCACAGAGTAATACATGGTCGATAGCCGCTAGCGCCGCTAGCGTGTGCACAGGTAGAGAGCAGAGGGAAGAATCCTCGAAACTGGCGCGACAAATAGCCATCTCAAATGGTT